TCTAGAAAAGGATTAACATTACGACTTTCAGGATGTTAGGCATTTTGAAATAGCAAAATTGTGAAAGCGAAAACAAGTTACTTTTGAACAAGACGCAATCTCTCCTCCACGTAAGCTAATGAGAGCAAAAAAATGTGATGAAGACGTCTCAGAGTCATTGTGTCCAGATATCCTTGTATTTTGAGCTTTACAGCTCATTTTTATCATTGCTATTTTGATGCAAATGAGTTACGAGAACTACAGGAATTAGCAAAGGAAATAATTACGACTGATTTTTCATCACAATTCCTTGATCGTACAGCTCACCGGTGAACGATATGTGTCTCTCGTACGGCATTTGCATAGAATCGCTTGTGAATCATACAAACCTCCTTATCGTCCTATGGCCAATCTCCCTCTTTCTCTCTTATGTTTACTTTAGAATTGTCTACTCTTCTCTTGGATCGATTGAACACTGAACAGTCAACGTGTATGAAAATCCGGCAGAAGTCCGATGAACGCATAGAAGTCTTAATGCGATGAAAATTCATTAGATTTGTAAGAATTACAAGACATCAACGGTAAAAAATCCTTAGTTTCCTATTTTGTTGCAGAATTTGAAATTTCAAACCGTTGATTCGTCAGTAGTATTTGTTTGTTTCGACCACAATATGCCTTATGCTGAGATTACTAAATTCAATGAAAAGGCAGCCGTCAGTTATTAATGTTTGTAAAATATTAGAGAAAATCTTCAACTGTGATTTCCACGAAAAAAATCACCTTCTCATGACTCATCATAAAGAAAGTTTCCACGATATTATCAACATCGTCTGAATGAAAACTACGTAATGACATAGTATCATACACTTACGAAACGGCTCTGAAATAGGCAAAGTTACCGAAACGTTAACCATTGAACGACAACATTTACATCAAAAACAGCAAAAACTGACCACGCGTCGGCTGAATACGGTAAGTCCTCATGATCTACAAAAACTGATTATTAGTGCCATGATTTCTACATTGCAGTTTAGAGAACATATCAGATTATCGGAGATTACTATTAGTTTTTACCATAGATAATTATCAATTAGATTATAAGATGCTACCGATGCTTAGTCATACATATTTACTTATTTCTTTTATTTTAATATTTTGCGTAAGCCTATGATTAGCATCACAAATTTCAGAAGACGGGCCATATAGATTACTCAATTATCAAAATTTGCTCATCGAATGCCAAGAATACAGTTATTATATAAATCGGCGATTATCGATAACATCCATTTCTAAAATAATACCAAAAGAGAATGGGAAACTTGTCCTCCTAGTCTTAGCAAAGTTCAATACGTTCGAAAGACCGACGTTATTTTAAACCAGCGAATAAGTAATGAAAAATATTTGGCGAACTGCTCTTTTCTATAAATAAAAGTTGCACGGGAAACCTCCTCACAGTATCGATCCTCAACGCTTCGGCGGTTCCAACTTTGTCAGAGTCTGGACGTACTAAATCATACTATGTTTAATTATTCGGTCAATACTTCGTCCATGCATATACGGAATACTGACAAATAATTTAAATATACATACGGAATATTGACCAAATAGTTGAATATATTCATGGAGAAATACGAAATATTGACCGAATATTAACGTTATCCACGGACCTCCCTCTTTGAGGGATCCCGCCCGGTTAGTCGCGAGGGCACGTGGCGCGTCCCCAGGTGGTGGGTAGGGGAATAAAACGCGAACCAAAAGCGACCGTGTGCTTCCCAGAGACGCAGGTGGATTCAGGGGACGAGCTCCCTGCTTCTGCAGTGCCGACTTGACAAAACCCTATTTCTACGAGTCAAGTCGGCCAAAAGCCTGCAATCAAGCGGCTGGGAAGTACATGGGAGGCGGTTAGGAGTCGCCTCCAACAAATAAGCTCCTCCCGCTCCTCCGAGAGAGACTGGCAAGCTACTCGTGAGTACCCAGCCCCCACGTTTAGAGCCTGGCAAGCTACACGTTGGGTATCAAAAATGCCAAAAACAGTAACAAATATGGGCCTCATTCCCCTGACCCCGAAAGAGCCCCTGGTACGGCAGCGCCAGGTAGGACGAGTACGGAGAGGCTGCTAAAATCTCAGGGCCGAACTAGGCTGCCAAGATCGAAACGGACTAAAATGACGATCTGTACCTACAATGCAAGAACCCTTGCTCAACAATCCGCTGTAGAAGATCTGTTGATTCAAGCAAGAAGAATAAGGTACGACGTCATTGGCCTGGCTGACACGAGAAGGCGCCATCCTTTTCACGCTGTCTATGACACCGGAGAAGAACTGTTCCTTGGAACATGCGATCGCAGAGGTGTCGGTGGCGTTGGCGTCCTCGTCAAATCGAATTTGACCGTGAACATTGATTCGTTCGAACAACTAACAACCCGCATCGGACGATTACGGTTGAAACGATGTGGTTCTATGCCGGCTTTGACCATCTTCGTTGCTTACGCACCAACATCAAGCTATGACGAAGACGAAGTCGAGGCGTTCTATATGGACCTCGAAAAATTCTTTAGAGAAGATCATACATTCTTCAAGGTCATTGCCGGAGATTTTAACGCAAAAATTGGACCTAGAAGAACGTCTGAAGAACGTCACATAGGGACCCACGGATACGTCAACGTGGAATCGCACGAGCCGCAGGCAACCGAAAGCTTACGTCCGAACTTGCGAAACGATGCAGAGAAGAGATAAAAGAAGACCTTAAAGAGAGAAGAGCAGCAGTTATGGCAGAATCTGCAGAAGCTGGGAAGAGCATTCGCAAAGCCCAGCGAGGCTTCGCCAACTATAAGGCCAAGATGATTGCACTCCGATACCCTGACGGGACACTTACAGCCTCCAGAAGGGCTATGGAGAAAATCATCCACCAGTACTACTCGGATCTCTTCGCTAGCCATGTTCTCTTACCGTCATATAAATTGAAAGAGGACGAATATGTCGTTCCACCGGTCCTTCCTTCCGAAATCCGACATGCTATATCGTCGGTGAAAAACAGAACAACACCCGGTCCAGACAGGATTAGACCAGAACACCTGAAGAACCTGCCGCCAGTTCTCATCAACACCCTGGCTCGGCTCTTCACTCGCTACCTGTCAGAATGGAAGGTCCCTATTCAATGGAAAACCAGCAAGACCGTATTGTTGTTCAAAAAGGGAGACCTTCACGACATAGGCAATTATCGCCCAATCTGCTTGCTGTCCGTTGTCTATAAACCGAAGGACAGCCATGCGAACAAGCAGGGTTCAGAAAAGGATTTAGTATCATGGACCACATCCACACAATCACAAGACTCATTGAAGTTTCGCGAGAGTACAAACAACCACTCTGTCTCACTTTTATCGATCTGAAAAAAGCCTTTGATTCAGTGGAAACAGAAGCGGCTATAGAGGCTCTGGATAACCAGGGCGTCCGTACTCGGTACATAATGATCCTTCGTGAGCTTTATAAAGATTTCACGACCAGAATATCTCCATCCTACAACAACATCACCATTGACGTAAGAAGAGGGGTTCGACAAGGCGATACAATATCGCCAAAACTATTCACTGCCACTCTACAAAACGTCATGCGAACATTAGAATGGGACGAAATGGGAGTGAAAATTGACGGTCGACAATTAAACCATCTTCGCTTTGCTGACGATATCGTTCTCATAACACCAAACATCAGCCAAGCGGAACGAATGTTGACTGATTTCGATAACGCCTGTGGAAAGATCGGTCTTCAACGAATCTAACGAAAACAATGTTCATGATGAACGGATGGGTTTCTAATGCCCCATTCACGCTCAACGGAACGACAATTTCCGAATGCTCCAGTTACATCTATCTAGGTCGTAAAATCAACATGATGAACGACCTAGTCCCAGAGTTGAGCAGGAGGAAACGAGCGGCTTGGGGAACGTTTAAGAGCATCGAAGATGTAGTGAAGAGGACAAAGAACATCCGACTCCGTGCCCACCTTTTCGACTCGACAATTATCCCTGCCCTAACGTATGCAACAGAAACCTGGTCGCTACATAAGCAGGATGAAAGATCACTTGCCGTTATCGAACGCGCAGTCGAAAGGTCGATGCTAGGAGTGTCTCGTATTTCGCAAATGAGACAAAGTATCCGAACTTCCGACCTACGTCAACGATCGAAAATCAGAGACGCCGTTCTACACGCCAGGATATCGAAAATAAGGTGGGCCGGACACGTGATGCGCTTCAACGACAACCGATGGACGAGAGCCGTTACCGACTGGATTCCTCGGGACGTCAAGCGCTCTAAAGGAAGACCACTGACCCGTTGGTCCGATTTCTTTACGAAAGCGATGGAAGAAAGATATGATGCTCAGCGAATTCCTAGAGCAAGGAGGACCCACTGGGCTACTCTTGCACGCGATAGGGAAAAATGGAAGAGTTGCTGGTACCCGCTCGAGTCACTCGACGATCAACGGGACGACAGGTGATACAGGTGATTAACGTTATCCATCGACTTGAAAAGAGGAGGACCAGCCACGATGTGTTTTATTTCGAACAAAGCACAGTTCATAAGATATTGCTTGATACGCCAACATAAGGAAGAGAAGTAAGAATGGATACTGTTGTCTAACTTTGTTTCATTAGAACAACTGATATCTAATACTCGAAATTTCTAATGTTTGACTACATTTTTACGCAGCGGTACGATGGTTCCCATACACCTAAGAGATGAGTGATGTGCAAAAACATGGCCTCAGGCGGGAATCGAATCCGCGTTTCATCCTGTCCGGGAAAACGTGCTCTACCACTACACCAACGTGGCACATTTGCCCGATCACTCATTCTTCAACATCTCTAAGTTAGCTACCAGCCACCAACCTTTAACAGGTTTGGTCGGGTATGCGATTTCGCTTTATAATCCCAGTTGAGCTGACAGCCATAACTGACCAAACCTGTTGAAGGTTGGTGGTTGCTAGCTAACCCAGAGATGTTGAAGAATGAGTGGTCGCGCAAATGTGCCTTAAGGTGTAGTGGCAGAGTACGTGTCCGCGGGTAGGATGAAACGCGGGTTCGATTCCCGCCTGAGGCATATTTTTGCTCGGCACTCAATTCTCTTAGGTGAATCGAAAACAACTGTTATCATTGAGGATTACTAACGTTAACAAAAACGAAGAGGCATTGAGAATCCTCTGCAGGTTTTCTGAGCACTTAAAGAATCTTATGTCACGAAATTTTGGAGAATACGAGCGAAAAAGATTTCAAAACCATTGTTAGTTTTTTTTTGTTGTTTGTTCTAATTAGCACAATGATATACATGGCCATTGATTTCTGAATTGACTGCTGCTGAGCGAGCAACTATAGTTCAGCGCCGAGGAAACAATCAGAGTAAAAAGTCTATGAGATGATATTTGCAAACATTTTTTGCGATTTTCAAAAACAATCACGAAACAAGACATCGGCGTTAATCGATCAATGCATGGTGGTATTGGAACGAGATAGTTGATACTTGTGTACTGATGGCCCTAACGAGTTTTACTGATAATCTGTAAGAATAGCGTTGAATCGATTTGCTAAAAAGCAGTGTTATGATGCTTTGATTATATATCTGACAATGTTGGACGCGGGTTCAACTCCCACTCAGGGTCGAAAGTTTTGCATTTCACTCAATATTCGTTCCGATTCCGGATCATTCACTAAGAGACGAAGTGACAAACAAAAGCGGAATAATAAATAGGCAAACATATTACTGCCAGTGAGACTGTCATGTGCTTGCCACTGATAAGGGTACTATGAGACGAGCGTCGAATATGACTAATGTTGGAGCCGTCAGTGATGCCTTCACTAACCACTATCGCCCCCACAAGCGTACCATTCTGATTCATACAAAGGGCGGATGAAACAAATCGAAACTTATATGTTCGATGGCCACCATCAGATAGCAAAAGAGACAGAACATTTGGTGCTTGTCAACTTTTCATTAAGGGGTATGCATTCGATTCTATTCCATAATTACCATGCTAGAGGTAATTGAGAACATATTCGACCTATGCAGAGACCTTGCAGGATAATGATGTATAAAACCAGTTTTTGTATCCCCCACTTCAGATGTGGTGCCAATTTTCTAAGGCAGAGGAATGTGAGGTGTGAGTAGCTCATTTGGTGTAGTGGGTTTAATGAACTAATGTGTATTGATAACAGTTTTAGTCATCGCGTTGCAAGCACCCACTGGCGAACATTTTTATTTCCAACACACATATTCACTGATGAGCGTACATGGCGCAGCGGTTAGAGGTGCTCTGCCTCGCACACAAGGCCAGTGGTTCGACCTCGCGCTCATAGCTCACTGAGCCATCCATCCCTCCAAGGTCGTTAAATTGGTGCCAGACTGGTCTCAGTCTTGTTTGGGAGGATAAGCAGCACTGACTCGATACAGCAGGAGGCCACTGCGAGTGATTGTAAAGGCCAAATATGCAATCAATCCCCTCAGACGAAGTTAAATATTGAAGACAAATGCATGGCCCATCCTTCGGGGATTGATCAACGCCGAGAGCTTCATCCTTTTATCGTTTATATTCATTGATACGCTAATAACAAGTTGATGAAGAACATTGTGTGGCTTATTATGCTACCGTTATATTGACTTTATATCAACTATTGAGTGTATTGAGTTGATGTATTTATTGATTGCTACATCCTAACTTCATTCCTACCAAAGTACTGATTTCATCCATCTAAAAAGTTCTTCCCTCTGAGTTTATTCTACGTGGGCTCTGTAGACTATAGTTCACATAATGTACGATTTAATTCCAAAGAAAGAAGCCTAAACGAGGTTGGAACGCCAGGGCCATACACCGGTGTTTCGGAGGTTTCGGCCTCCTCTTCAGTGACCCCCGCCCCACATTAAGCCCTGCATTGTAGCAAGGAGGGAGGCGTTTGTGGTGATGGCATAGTGTACAATGACACTGGTCCATCACCACTCTCAGTCGATAGATTTCGGCTGGTCGATAAAAACAGTCGATCATATGGATTCGTTTTGGTCCACCAGCCGAAATCCATCGACTGAAAGTGGTGATGGACTAGTGTCATTGTACACTATGCCATCACCACATACGCCTCCCTCCTTGCTACAATGCAGGGCTTGATGTGGGGCGGGGATCACTGACGAGGAGGCCGAAACCTCCGAAACACCGGTGTATGGCCCTGACGTACCAACCTCGTCTAGGCTAAAAACATTTAAAAACAGTCGATCATATGAATGTACGATTTGTTAACAAGAATCTGCGGGAATAAATAGCCTCTGTATCTCAACGTTTCGTTGATCGTTGTGTTCTTGCAAAATTTGGTAACACTATGCTGGTGAAGACTAGAGACATGCTTTTGGGTACTCTGATAATATGTTGAGAATCTGGGTAATCTGATTATATGTTGATGTTTAAGTGAAAATTTTATAAATTGCAGAATTGTGTAGTGTTTATGCCTCTAAAGTTATTGCTGTTTTATTAACTATTGGGCTTTTTGAGATGACATAAGATAAGATGAAAAGTTGAGAGAGCGGCGACCACAAAATCGTGAGAGTAACAGACATACAGCTGGTTATTTTTCTATTATATCAGTGCTGCTCTGCAAGGCTTGCCATTGTCTTTCATTATTACCCGCTGCTGCTCTGTGTTGTAATGCAAGAGATGCATTTCCAATGGGTTGATGAGGGCCGGCAAAAAATTGTTCAGATGATTTGGTCTGGTCTGGTGTAAGTAGGTAGCGTACGGCTCTCCCATGTTCAAGAAACTGCACGGATGTAGAGAGGGGAAACTTTATCAGGACATATGAATTCTTACGGACATTATTTAAGGTATATGTATGGAGCTGCCAAAGATGCTGGAATAGAAGCTTGAAATAAGCTTCTCAATTCTTCGTCCGTATGTAGTTAGCGTTTTATTCATTGCTGATGATCAATTACCACAGTTTCCTGATTGGCGACGCTCGGTGAACATTGTGGATGCTCTTTTAACTTATGAAGAAATAGCCACCATCAGTGTTATTAGATGAAAAGCGATTTCGTCGTCTATTCCGTTGAAAGTTTGCTCAGGAACCCGGCGCTAGCCCCGCCTCGCCGCTCGCGCCGGCATCCGCAGTATCGAGTAGTTGGTGATGCTGCTAGCCACTGGGAAAAACGTTGCTGGTTTAATCTTCTTCCATGAAGCTTCGTAGAAGAATTTTTGATGTTGACTAGTATGGAAGGTCCTTCTATAGACGTAATTATTGCAAAAGAGCGCTCTGCTGTCCTGCAAATCACTGTTTTTTGATAGGAAACGTAGATCCATAAGGTAACAACGGAACCAACGCAATGGTTTCGCAAAACTGGCTGCATCCACTTTTATATAAGTCCTTTCAAAAAGTCGTCAAAAAAGAAAATATGCTCTCGAATCCGACTTTTACAACATCGTCGAAAGAAATGCGTAAAAAAGTTGGATATGCGTCGTTACACCATGGTTCTACTTTTTTTTGTCAAAAAGTACTGCATTGTTAATAGCTGAGCGTTATTTTTATAATAATTACGTCTACTGATAAACTTTCATGCTAGTCGACACCAACAATTGATACTGCGGAATCTCTTGTGAGTGCGGGAGTCGAGGATCGAACCAGCAATCTTTTCACTGGTAACATGCACCACTATCGACTCAGAACTACAGACTGTCCTTCTCGCACGAGCACGTACCTGTCGTATCCAGAGCAGATGGTCGAATGACTATCGATGTTCAGCTGACCTCGACGCGACTTGATCCCCTCTCTCCGTAATACTAACCGGCAGTCAATAACGAAACGCCCTATGGAACTCCACTTATTGACTGCTCTCGATACTGCAAATAGATATGGTCAATCAGTATTCTAAGACGTTCATGGGGAAGGCAAATACTCAATAAAGCAATGAACGCTATGATACGAATTGGTTGCTAGGAAAACTAGGATCTGCGAAACGAAGAACTCGAAAAAGACAGAGCAAAGACCTTTCGGCGTTGATCAGCCCCCGAGGAATGCGCCATGCATTCTCCTTCAATTTAGCGTCGTTTAAGGTGATTGAGTGCATATATAGCTTCCACAATGGCTTGTGCTGTCATATCAATCTGTTAAGTCAGTGCTGTTATGTTCGCAGGTATGTCTGGTACCAATTCGCCGATCTCGGAGGCATGGAAGGCCTGATGAGCCTTAAGAGCGAAATTGAACCATCGACCATCGATTGAGTGAGCATGTTTGTCGCAGAGAACCTCTCACCTTTGTGCCACAAGCGTAAAGAAGTAGCACAGGTCAAATCAAGTGACAAAGTGAAGTAAACTTTTGCGTAAAATGTAACTGCCAATTCAAGAAAACACAACATCTTCGTACAATGGTCCTTAGAACGATTTGCTATAATAACCAAATCTAGATGGTAGTAGTATCAAAAGTGTGCTCAGACCGAAAAGACGTCATACAAAGGTTTAGCTTATACAGTAACTATTGAACATAAGCCCTCAAACTTCTTCATGATAAAGTATGCTAATGCTTGATAATCTCTAGCATAAACATGTCCGAACATGCAGCTTAAATCAAAGTTTTCATGCAGATAAAATTACCAAAATGCGGACAACATATCTTTTAGTTAAGCAAAAAACAATATCTTCTATTGTCTTTCACATAAACGAAGAACAGAGACGAATGCCAATGAAAAAACAGCACTATTTTTTAGCAGAAATTAGTTATTTATCAATGAACAAGTTTTAAATGGAACACTGACCACTAAGATGAATACGGACCCTTGCAGCAGTAATGGAAAGAATTCATTCTTACTCACATTGTCGATATTCCCACTGAACACTGGCGGCGACATAGTTCACTGTATAATCTACGAAATCTTCGTTCCACTGATTTGTACCACTGTTTTGTTGTAATCATACAAGAAGAAATGTTGAGTGATATGAAAATTTGAAGCCTTAGACGACATACGAGAGGCTGAGAGAGTTAGAGCAGAACAAAGGCTTTGATAGAATAGTGGCAGCAGGCAATTCTGGTAGGAGTAGAACGCGATTTAATTGGTGCCTGAGGTTGCAATTTTTAA